TGTGTGTGTGTGTGTGTGTGTATGTATACACACACACACACACACACACACACACACACACACACACATATATATATACACGCATCAAGGATTAATTGTGCATATGGCATAAAATAAGGTTAAAAATAAGGTCCCACAAACTGTTGAGGATGAAAGTGTTTTTAATTGTTTTCTGATTTTTCTTTCTACGCTTTTTTTCTTTCTTTCCTTTTCCTTTCTCACATTTATGTACGTGTTGTTTGTCTATTTTAACTGTAAAATTAATAGTTTATTTTTAAAAAAAGAAAGAAAAGAAGCGTCTTTGGGACAGTAAGGAGAACGGACTTTTCTATCATTTCAACAGCGGATGGGTTGCGTGAAGTTCTCTGCGGATGCGGCAAGTCCCAAGCTGGGAGGAGGGAGCGAGGGGGGGGACGAGATGGGACAGAACTAACCTGTGATGTAGAATAGGAGTCTCCGTTTAGCCCTTGAAGGCCCATGAACATATCGCCCGAACTGGAAAGATTGAAGGAGCCTCCGGAGCCTGCGAGAAAATCGGAAGGAAGAGGGAAGAAAAAAAAAAAAGAGCAACAGAGTGAACGGGTGGGAAGACGCCGCTCTTTCAAGGAAAGAAAAGATTAAGGCTGCTGAGAAGTTACATTAAGTGGAGGTGCATGCCAAGAGCCCCAAGCGCACCCGGGAATACTAAGCTCTTATCTTTTGTGTAAGGTTATAGTAACAGAACTATAACAGGATCCCCACCTTACTCTGTGGTAAGTTGGGCGGCCAATAAATTTGGAAAAATAAATAAACCAATAAGTAAATAAATCTTGCCAATCTGAAGGCAAGTCTTCTCCTCTCTCCCCCTTCACTTTTACCATCCAAGAAACCAGGGAAGGCCCACATTCCAGCTGTGGTCTTATCTGACTGGGGTCTAGTCTGGGGCTCTTCATTCCCACAGACCATGACATTGGCCTGGGGGAGAGGGGGTTGGGGAGAAGGAAGAAAGGAAGGAAGGAAAGAAAGAAAGAAAGAAGCAAGCATCTAGGTCTGCACTCAGTAAGGATGACCGCTTGTTTGGAAAGGGGTGGAAGAGCCGGGGACGGAGGTTCTCCTCAGGAGCTCCACCACTGGTTGGAGTGGGATGTGGGGGCAGTTCCATGCTTCTCCAATCCCAGCAAGGACTCCTGCACCAACATGGGGTGTAGCGGAGTTTTGGGGAGGAGGGGAGTTACCCGCGGAGGAGGGGGTGTTGGGAGAGTCGCCCCCACTCTGTGCGGCGCTGACCGCCGTTTTCACGGCGTAAATATTGGCTTCCTCTTGGAACTTGCCGATGTTCTTCTTATAACGGATGCGCTTGTTCCCGAACCAGTTTGAGACCTGGAAGGAGGGAGGGGAGGGAGAGGGCAGAGGTCAACATGGAGGAGCAGGAAGTGGGAGGGGAACAAGGGGTGGGGTGGGGTGAGGGGGGGGGGAAAGAGGGGTGAGGAAGGAAGGGAATTATGGATCGATAGGTCAGCCAAACCTGGACCCTTTTCCCCCGGCCGACCTTCTTTCCCGAAGTGACCCTACCGTCTCTTGCAGACAGTCTCGTAGCCTGCTCGGTTCAGCTTCAGACCTTCCCCCCGCATAGGTCCTGGTACCTGCGAGACGGTGATGCCGCACTTCTTGGCAAGCTCCTCCTTGGCCTCCTCGCTGGGATACGGGTTGCTCAGGTGCGAGTAGAAATATTCGTTCAGGACCTCGGTGGCTTGCTTGCTGAAATTGCGTCGCTTCCGCCTGTCCGTTGTGTGGGACAAAGAGGGGTGGGTGGGAAGAGGTTGACCGTGAGAACAAGATGATTGCCAATACCCGCTGAAGATTGGATCCCGCAACATTATTCTGGGACGTGCATATATTCGCCTTCATTCGCCATGCAAAATTACTTAAAAATCCCGCCTGTCAGAAGAAGAATTGGACTTGACATATAAATTCCACAGGAGTGCTAAAATATGTGGAGATGCTCTTGAGAAATGCAGTTCTAACACTTTTCTTTCCAGGTAAGACTCCAGCGATTCTCCAAGCTTTCTTGAAAACATGCAGGCAGCCCCCAACTCTCCAAATGAGATGTCCAACAACATATGAGCCTCTGTGGCACGGTGGTTAGAGAGCAATACTGCAAGCTACTTCTGCAGCCAGCTGCCTACAATTTGGCAGTTCAAATCCCACCAGGCTCAAGGTTGACTCAGCTGTCCACCCTTCTGAGGTGGATAAAACGAGAACCCAAATTGTTGGGGGCAATAGGCTGACCCTGTCCAAGTGCTATTGCTATATCGCCACTATCTCCAGATCCATCCTCTCTCCTCACTACCTTGTACAGCAACCATTCACAGTTTACGACGGGGATGAAAAACTTTGTGACCAATCCTTTGGGCATTTATGACCTTCGAGGATCCATTAAACAAAAAGGAAAGCTAAAGATCATAAAACAACTCTTGTGGTTTCACCCAGTGATCCATTTGTTTAACAACCAAGTTGCTGGTTCCAATCACAGATGCTAAATGAGGAGTTCTGCAAAGTCACACATTCAAATGTTCGCTAGGTTTACAGAATGCAAATACTCGGTGGCTTTCCATTATTCTTGACGCAGTTTTAAATAGTAGGAAGTATGCACAGTTCTACAGGAAGTCATGATATATTTGTATTTCCCACAGTCGGGAATGTGTGTGTGTGTGTGTGTGTGTGTGTGTGTGTGTACATATGTACACACACACACACACACACACACACACACACATTTGTTTGCCAACATTTACATGTTTCCAAGATTTCTGAAGCTAGGTATTCCACAACATATGGGAGGTCGCCCAGATACAACCATCAGCAGAATAGAATAGGAGTTCTTGGGCAGAAGGGAACATCAAACTCCATTTATGAAACTTTTAATCGCCAAGCAAGATTGCCTGGAGACTAATCTCCTTCCTGGTCACACTTAAGTGTCTGAAAGGTGTTTTTTTCAAGAGCCAACTGGAGTTTCTGTTTTTCCTATGAATCCATTTCGCTTCTCATCCAAGGAGCTTCTTCACCTCTGACAGGATGGTGAGGAATGGAAGGATAATTATACTCCTTGCAGACAGAGCTGGTCATCGGCATTTTGTAGAGGCATTGAGGCCACCTGGAGGTTTATTTGTGTCCTTAGGGTCACCTGCGTAGTGGAAATGGATGAGTCGCCTTTTTGGAACCGCTGAAAGGACTGTGCTGTAGATTGGAGATACATGTTGTTGTATCCCCTTCTCTCTCTGTTGAGAGGGCTGTTCAATTTTGGCACAGATGGCCTCTTTGACTCCTTTCTTTCAAACCAGTGGTCCTCTCGGTCTATAATATAGACTTTGCTGCCTTCAAAATAAACCTCCAGGTGGCCTCAATGATTCGCTAAAAGAATGCAAATGACCAGCTGCCTCTGCAAGGACTATAAATCTTTCCATTCCCCACCATCCAGTCAGAGCCGAAGAAACTTCTTGGATGAGAAGCAAAATGTCTTCAAAGAAAAAAAAAAAAGAAAGTCCAGTTGCTTCTTGAAAAAAAAAAAAACACCTTTGGGATAACCATGACCGGGATGACTGAGAATCTCCACAGACATTTAAATATTTAGTGTTTCTCCTTTTCTGATTTTTAATCAATTGCCACTGAATTGCAGTTTTATTGCATTAGGATGGTAAGACTTTCCTGTGTATAATTATACTAGCTCTATACCTGTGCTTTGCTACGAAACTATGTGATCGGGCTTAGTTTTTGGGGAGGAAAATAAGGGGGAAAAAATTTGTGCCTCTGCCTACCAGCATCCATTGGTATTCACCTGGCTAGCGTCCAGTCAGTGTGTGAGAGAGTTGAGGGCTGTTTGGAAACTGAAACGGTATTTGCTGTGTGAGCAAGAAGGAGACAGGGGTGGGATGCTACCGGTTCTGCCCGGTTCTATAGAGCTGGTAGCTCTGAAGAACAGCAGACGCAGAACCGGTTGTGTTTGCTGCTGTTTGGCCCACCCACCCGCCTGGGGCTCTTACCTGTCCATTTCTCCTTATTTCCAGGTTGAATCTCTCCTTGTTCAGTTTCCATCCGTTATTCCTTGTCTGGCTTTCGGGTGCTTTAGAAAATAGCTTGATCCCTTCCTCTCTGTGGCAGCCTCTCAAATATTGGAAGACTGCTATCGTGTCTCCCCTGGTCCTTCTCTTCACTAGACTAGCCAGACCCAGTTCGTGTATTTCATGTCATGTGACCAAACTAGGTATTTGGCAACCAGGTGCGATTTTTCATCAGTGTCTTGTGGTCATGTGCCTGCATTTTACAATAGTTTCGCTAAAAAAAACTTCCCAGCATTTACTTCTGGTTTTTGGCAAAGCCACACCACACAAGGCCAATCATTATTTGCTTAAGAACCTTGGTGCTTGCTTAACATCTACAGTGTCCACTTTATGACTGTGGTGTTTGGTTAATGACTGTCACAAAAACCAAGGTTTTTATGACCGTCATAACTTAGGACCATGGTGGGCAGGCTCCATTATGATTATAAGTTGAGGACTGCCTGTATCTTTTAGAAGTGACTGAAATTGAGGAAAACTGCATTAAACTCTTGAGGAGAGGGAAGACTTTGGTGATCCCACCATTTGTTTTGGCTGGCAAGGCCCACTCCAATTTTACAGCCTGTTTACATAAAATGGGGGTGGGGAAACTATGGCTCTTTTATGACTCGTGGACTTCAACTCCCAGAATTCCTGAGCCAGCATAGCTTAACTCAGGAATTCTGGGAGTTGAAGTCCATGAGTCATAAAAGGGCCATAGGAGTTGAAGTCTACAAGTCAAAAAACTCAGGAATTCTGGGAGTTGAAGTCCACGAATCATAAAAGGGCCGTAGGAGTTGAACTCCACAAGTAATAAGGCTCAGGAATTCTGGGAGTTGAAGTTTGCAAGGCATAAAAGAGCTATAGAAGTCTGTAAGTCATAAAACTCAGGAATTCTGGGAGTTGAAGTCCACGAGTTATAAAAGGGCCATAGGAATTGAAGTCCACAAGTCATAAGGCTCAGGAATTCTAGGAGTTGAAGTCCACAAGTCATAAAGGGGCCATATTTCACTTCTGAAATAAAATACCCACCTGGCATCCAGGAAGCGGGAACGCAGGATCATGACCGCTTCACACGTGCTCTGCTTCAGCTGCATCTGGATAGAGCTGAACTTCCGGTGGATGATGCTGACCATGCGCTCAATCTCCTTAGGCGACACCGGGCGTGTGCGGCTTTGCTCTCGAAGCAAATTCATCACGTGGGTTGTGAACTCATTGCAAGCCTTGGCGGGACGAGGAGTGGAAAGGAAGAGGTGCTGGGTGGGTGAGTCAAAACTTATGACGGCAAGGACGTGACACTTTCCCCATCCATAACAACCTGTCCTCCATCCCAGAGATTCACCATCTTTGGCCACCGAGTCTTAATTTGATCCTCCAACTAATCAACTTTAGTTGGAGGTTCCTCTCAACATATAGCCATTCGTTTAGTGACCGTTCAAAGTTACAATGGCATTAAAAAAAAGTGACTAACAACCATTATTCTCTCTTTTTGCAGTATCCCTATAGCAGGGGTCTTCAAACTCGACAGCTTTAAGACTTGTGGACTTCAACTCCCAGAATTCCTCCTCCAATCACGTTAGCTCAGGAATTCTGGGAGTTGAAGTCCACAAGTCTTAAAGCTGCCAAGTTTGAAGACCCTTGCCCTAGTCATAGGATCAAAATTCAGATGCTTGGCAACTGGTTCGTATTTATGACGGTCACAGCATCCTGGGGTCCTACAATCCCCTTTTGCGAACTTCTGAGAAGCAACCTCAATGGGGAAGCCCGACTCACTCAACCACAGTGTTACTAACTTAACAGCTGCAATGATTCACTTAACAACGGTAACAAGAAAGGTTGTAAAAGGCAGACAAAACTCACTTTAACAACTGTTTCACTTAGCAACAGAAATTTGGGCTCAAGGACTACCTATAGTCCTATTACTTTTCTTCCCTAGAAAAGGTAGGGTTTTCTACTCATTCATCCTGTTGCCCACTGTGGTCCTTCAAAAACACTAATTATGGCCATTAAAAGACTGGCCAATCCTAACAGTGTTGCTTAAAATGTATTCAGCAATACTGTTCCATGAAGGAAGGGCATCTAATGCATAACTATATGTCTATCTGTGCTGTTGTGTGGGTGGGTGTCAGCCTTTTTTAGATTTCATCTTTCATCTACATCAAGAGTCTTGGCAAGTTTAAGACTTGTGGACTTCCACTCCCAGAATCCCTGAGCTAACATGACTGGAGGAAGAATTCTGGGAGTGGAAGTCCACAAGTCTTAAAGCTGTCCAGTTTGAAGACCCCTGATCTATATCAATGTCTCCTCTATTCATCCTTTTGTATTTTTTTAAAAACAAGAATTCCAGGTACAGATGACAGATAATCAGAGTTGGAAGGGACCTTGTAGGTCATCTAGTCCAACCCGCAGCCTAAGCAGGAAACCCTATAAGCCATTTCTGACAAATGGCAGTCCAGTCCCTTCTTGAAAGCCTCAACTGATGACGCTCCCACAACTTCTGAGGGCAAAGCTGTTCCATTGGTTGATTGTTCTCACTGTCAGAAAGTTTCTCCTTATTTCCTGGTTGAATCTCTCCTTGTTCAGTTTCCATCCATTATTCCTTCTCTGGCCTTCGGGTGCTTTGGAAAACAGCTTGACCCCTTCCTCCCTGTGGCATCCCCTCAAATATTGGAAGACCGCTATCATGTCTCCCCTGGTCCTTCTCTTCACTAGACCAGCCATGCCCAGTTCCTGTAACCGTTCTTCGTATGCCTTAGTCTCCAGTCCCCTAATCATCCCCTGAATCTAGTAATTTTTTTTAAAAAAAAATGGTCAATGGTTTTGAGCTGGTGCACCATTTGCAGATCCTCCTAGACTCAATGATTCCTGCTCAACGAGCAGGTGGCAGTCATGGCATGAAAGTGGGGTGGGGATTTATCTGGTATGCTGATTCTGCCCTTTTCTGGGCCAGGAGGCCTTGGGCTCATGGTCACTTCCTGTTTGGGCTACTCCAATAAACTCTACATGGGGCTGCCCTTTAAGATCCCACCCTTCCGACCTTCCGCAAGACCTCAAAAGACCTGACTCTGTCCGTTGGCTTGGAGCTCCAGTGCGGGGCGAGTCCTGTCACACTGGAGATGGCAGACAGATTGAGAACACAACCCATCCTCCTCCCTCCTCATCCTACCACACCTTCGCTCATCTTTTATTAGGGTTGATAAATTAGTACTAGTATTTGATTTAATTACATGCATGATGTTTTGTATAGATTTCTCCTTTTTAGCGTTGTGAGCAGCCCGGAAATACCCTGTGGTAAGATAGGTGAATGACCAATTTAATAAAGAACAGCTGGAAGCTACAGCCAGTACCAGAATGTGACCATGGCAAGCACAGTGATGGGCGTCCTTTGGGTTTCTCCATGGAACACCTCTTGTTGCATGGAGTTATACTAGCTCTCAGTTTCCTCCCAGGTGCAATTCAAGGTGCTGGTTATTACCTTTAAAGCCCTGTAGGGCACAGGGCAGAGGTGGAATTCAGTGGCTTCTGACCAGTTCTGGAGAACCGGTAGCGGAAATTTGGAGTAGTTCAGAGAACCGGCAAATACCACCCCTGTCTGGTCCCGCCCCCATCTATTCTCCGCCTCCCGCGTCCCAGCTGATCGGCTGGGTCTTTTTTGGTTGCCCTGCACAGGAGAATGGAGCTGGAAAGCAGGTTAGTGGGGGGGGGAGGGAATGGGGATTTTACACGCCCACTAAGCCACACCCACCACACCATGCCCACTAAGCCACGCCCACAGAACCAGTAGAAAAAAAAACTTGAATCCTGGCACCACTGGGTCAGGTTATTTGCACGACTGCCTTTTCTTAAGGCAGGAGGGGGTGTGGTTTGGTGTGCTGCTTGCATCCCGTGAATGGGGCTTTCCTTTTCTTAAGGCCAGTCTGACCAGGTCAGATAGGGTGGGCCCGCTCCTAGTTCCTTCCTTTAAACCCGAGGTCCCCAACCCCCGGTCCATGGACCCGCAACCAGGCCACGGCCAGTGGTGGGATTCAATTTTTTTTTTATTACCAGTTCTGTGGGCGTGGCTTGGTGGGCATGGCAGGGGAAGAATACTCTGCAAAATCCCCATTCCCTCCCCACCCCACTAACCTGCTTTCCAGCTCCCTTCTCCTGTGCACGGCAACCAAAGGAGACCCAGCCGTTCAGCTGGGACTCAATGGGAGGCAGAGAATAGATAGGGGCAGGGGTAATCAGAGGTTTATTGGCCGGTTCTCCAAACTACTCAAAGTTTCCGCTACCGGTCCTCCAGAACTGGTCAGAACCTGCTGAATACCACTTCTGGCCACGGCCTGCCAGAAACCGGCCTGCGCAAACAAGCAAAGCCCCATCCATGGGATGCAGGCAGCGCATGAAACCACACCTGCCCCAATCCACGGAAAAACCTCTCTTCCCAGAACGGGTCCCTGGTGCCCTAAAGGTTGGGGGCCTCTGCTTTAAACATTGCCCTATGGAAGTCCGTTCTCCCTGAAGTCCAGCAGGCCTCCCTCCCTTCTCCTGGCCTTCTGAAAGGATCTTAAGACCTCACTTTTACCTCAGTCCCAGAGACAGGATGAGGTGAACGAGAGGTTTGAACGATGAACTAGCATGTGGGAGATCAACTTTGGTGCCAGCTTTTAATATTCATTATTTGATGTTGTAAGTAATATTTAGTTATAGGTTTATAAATGAAACACTTAATACATTGAATGTTTTAATAGGTATATGTACGGTTATGCATTATGTTGTTTTATTATTTATGTTATTTTAATCCTTGATTGGAAGCTACCCAGAGTCTGATACGGGTAGCCATATAAACGGTTTAAATAAATAAAATAAAATAATAAAATAAAATATGTAGCATTTGATTTGACTATGTGCCATCAAGCTAGTGGTGACTTATAAAAGCCACGGGAATAAATTTTCTCCAGAATGATCAGATTGGACTCCAACCCTATTCTTTGTATGGATTCTTAATCCCAACATCATCATTGTAATCAAGTTCATCATTGTTGTAATCAAGTCCTTCCTTCCTTCCTTCCTTCCTTCCTTCCTTCCTTCCTTCCTTCC